AGCAAAAGCAAGAGCTCCATGCATGCTTTAAGTCATTAAGTTGCACGGAGTCTTGCTGTGCAGCAGAAGCTAACTGCTGTACAGCTCCATTGTACAGATGAACAAAGTGAGGCACAAGGGGAGGTTCCAGAACCTACTCAAGGTCCCACAGCTACGAAAGCTGAGCAGGTGATCAGAAGCCGGTTAGCCCACCTGCAGAGGGTACACTGCGTCCGGGTGTCCCCACCGCTAAGCCACTCAAGTGTCAAATGACTTCTTTGCTCTCCCATCTACTCTTCTAAAGAAGTTAAGGGTAGGACATGAATGTGGCCCCATAACACTAAACACACAACTTCCAATAAGCCCCAATATTCTGCATGTATTAAACTTGCAGGTTTTCAAAATGCTCAGCTGTCTTCTGGCACATTCCAAAAGAAACAGGTTCCCCCAAAACAGCAAGGTCACCCAACTTCTACAGGTGAATGGACAAATGTGGTCCATCTACACAACAGAACAGCATCCAGCCTTAAGAAGGGTGGCAATACTGACACATGTCACATGGTGAACAAACCCAGGGGACAGTCAGCTAACAGAAATCTGCCTGTCATGACCGACATCGACGCCGTGATTCCTAAGCACACACGTGACATACCTAGGGTAGCAAACTCATGAAAACAGGAGCACGGGGGTGGCCGGGGGGAGGTGGGGACAGACATTACAGTTTAATGGTGACAGAGCCACAGTTGGGGAAGATGAGAAAGTTCCAGAGTGAGGCAGTGAAGCAAACGCACTGCGGGCTGGGGGCTACACCTTGAGCAGGGCTGAGTGGGAGCTGGAGCTTTGGTGTAGTGGGTTCAGTGCCACCTTCAGCGCCAGCATCCCATACGGGTGCTGGTTCAAGTCCTGGCTGCTCCACTTCCCATCCAGTTCTCCCTGCTAATGGCCAGGCAAGGCAGTGAACACCGGCCCACATGCTTGGGCCTCTGCACCTATGTGAGAGATCAAAAAGAAACTCCAGCTTCCTGGCTTCAAGTGTCTCACCAGCTCCAGCCCTTGTAGCCATCTGGGGAGTGAACAAGCAGATGGCAGATCTATCCCATAACTCCACCTTCCAAAGAAATAAATCTTAATAAATAAATGATCTTTTTACATGACTTCTACTTTACCAGAACTGTTTTTTTAAAAAAAGATTTATTTTGTTTTATTTTTATTGGAAAAACAGACATACAGAGAGGAGGAGAGACAGAAGAGGAAGATCTTCCATCTGCTGATTCACTCCCCAAGTGGCTGGAGCTGAGCTGATCTGAAGCCAGGAGCCTCCTCCATGTCTCCCACGCGGGTGCAGGGTCCCAAGGCATTGGGCTATCCTTTACTGCTTTCCCATACAAGCCCGTGGCAGGGGAGTTTTTCTCTTTTAAGGCCAGAGCTGACCTTGCTGCCCCACTGATACGAATGTTTGAGACACAGGCAACCACCACAACCAACCCACCCACAGTGGGATTGTTAATTCAGGAACAGATGGGGAGGGGGCAAACAGCAGGTAAGAGAGGGTCCCGGGACCCATTTTCCTCTTGTCTGCTTTCTAAATTTTCAATGCTATTCATAAATCCTAATTTCTTAAAGGGTTCTTCGATTATTTGAAAGGCAGAGTGACAGAGACAGGTGTTTCACCTGCTGGTCCACTTCCCAGATGGAAGCCTACGACTCCACACGGGTCTCCAGCTTGGCAGGGACTCCAACGCTTGGGCCATCTCGCACAGCTTTCCCAGCAAAGGAGCCGGATCAGAAGCGGGGCAGCCAGAACTTGAACAGGTGCCCACGTGGGCTTTAGCACTGCAAACAGCAGTTTAACTTGCAGCGCTACGAGGCCAGGCCCAGTAAGTCCTGATTTTTAAAGACGCCCAAACCCAGGCATATACAGGGATGCCACTGTCGAACACTTGGGGACAACCTCACCCCTCAGGGGAGATGCAGGAACCAGTTCCGGGCTGACTGCCTCACCACGGGCCCTTGAAGGACTGCTCTGTGGGAATCCCTGGTAAATGTAAACAGGAACGAGGGAGGGGCAGGAGGCCCGGGGAAGTGGGCAGAAGTGGACAGGAAGCCCTGCTTGGCGGCAGCTGGCCAGAAGCACCCCCAGCAGGAAGCGTCGGAGCAGCACCTGCCCCAGCCCAGAGTCAGCTCACACCGAGAGGACAGGCCACAGCCGTCGTCCTCTGCTCCCGACCCACGAGCCCCTGCAGAGGGGAAGAGGTTCTCGGACGCCCTCAACACTCACCCCTGCAGAGTGAGTCAGTGAGAGCTGGGCAAGGCCAGGTTAGCCCTGGTGACTCAGGGGCTTACCCAGGGAGCTCCATGCACCATAGTCACAGGAAGGAAGCGAGGCCACAGCCCTGCCTCCCTCGCAGCCCGCTGCCTGCTGCCCTCCTACTCCCCCCAAAGAGGAGCTGGGCCACAGGAACAGGCAGCTGGGAGCCCACCTGCTACACGCATTTGGGACCTGAAGTACTTCTCCCTCTACCCTGAACCCCCAGCCGGTGGGCGTGAGCAGCCCTAGGAGGGAGGAAGCCCAGGCCAGGAAGGGGGAGGGAGGTGGCAGACACCAGCCAGGGCTGACCTCTGAACAGAAAACGGTTAAATTGACCAGGCTGTGGCACAGCGTGTTAAGCCTCCAGCTGCAACCACCAGCCCCCGGGAGAGCTGGTTGAATCCCCACTGCTCCGCTTCCGATCCAGCTCCCACTAACGCTCCTGGGAAAAGCAGCAGCAGACGGCCCAAGTGCTCGGGCCCCTGCCAGCCACACAGAGACCCTTGTGGCATTCCTGACTCATGCCTAATACGGCCCTAGCCACTGCAGCCAGCTGGGCAGTGAACTGGTAGATGCAAGATCTTTGTGTATCTCCGTCTCTCCCTGTGTCATGCTGCCTTTTCAAATAAGTAAAATTTTTAAAAAGAAAGAGGTCTGAAGGAGGCAAGGCACGAGGCTGGGACAACATCACCACCAGAGGGAACAGGAAGTTCAATGGAGGAGGGGCATGTGTGACGTCAGTGCAGCTCAAGCAACCAACCCTGAGGGGTCCTGACCACACGGTCCCTCGAGGGACCAGGCGGGGAAGTGCCAGATCGGGAGGCACTGCCACACTGCCTCAAGGCCACTCCAACACAACACTCTGGCCGCACTGCCACCTGCTGAATGTTCCACATCCAAGACGTTGGGTCCCACACACGCTGGAGGTTCAGGAATACCTGCAGACCCACACTCAGGTACCCTGGGCACAGACCCAAGCCTAATGGCAAAGTTTATTCTTGTGTCACAGATGACTTCAGCCCCCAGCCCCCAGTCACGCTGTATGTTTAATAAATGTGTGTGCACGATGGCCTGGTGCAATGACTCTGGCTGAATCCTTGCCTTGCACACACCGGGATCCCATATGGACCCTGGTTCCTGTCCTGGCTGCTCCACTTCCCATCCAGTTCCCTGTTTGTGACCTGGGAAAGCAGTCAAGGACGGCCCAAAGCCTTGGGAACCTGCACCTGCATAGGAGACCCAGATGAAGCTCCTGGCTCCTGACTTCAGACAGGCCTAGATCTAGCTATTGCCATTTGGAGAGTGAACCAGTGGATGGAAGATCTCTGTCTCTCTCTCTGTAACGGTCAAATAAAATAAATAGATCTTTAAACATATATCGAAGATGTCTTGTACCGATGGAGACCACCTCCCTGGGTGCAGGAAGGACACCCCACGTGGGAGCATCTCAACAACTCAGGGATAAGGGCACGTGCTAGGTAACTGTGGCCCCTCTGCAGGGGGCAGGGTTCTTCCTAAAGCCCTGGGGTCTGGGCGGGCGAGAACAGGACAGAAAAGAGGAAGTGGCTGCTCAGAGCCCACTGCAAGCCAGGAACAGTTAACTGGGACTCTGAGGTCGCCCCGTTAGAGGGTTCGGGCAGCCCTCCCACCCAGGCAGACAGGTCCCCTGGCTAGCAGGCCCCAGCCGGAAACCCCAGCTCAGAGCCCTGAGGGTCCCACTCAGCGCACAGCCAGATGGGAGCAGCCGGGGATGACAAGGAATGGGAGAGGAACAACCACATCCCGGCTCCTCACCCTCCCTGGCTCTCATCCTCCCGTGTTGAGGCTTCTTCTCCAAAGGCTCCCCCTGCCACAGTCTCCTCTGCCACAGTAGCTGACAACACAGCACAGGGCACATGCATGCCTGCATGCGTGTACACACACACACACATACACATACACACAGCAAGGGCACTTAATTTTGTTGCAAGTAGAGACTTCTAGAAGCAGCCACTTCCATCCACCCGAGAGGCCCATACAGCAACACCTGGTCAAGCTCCTAGCTAACCTAAGCTCGGACACACAAGGGATGCTGACCCACACTCAGCGGGCCCCCAGCCCAGGCATGGCACACAGCAGGCACTAGTCACAGCTGGGCAACTCTTCCTCACCTCCCTCTCACAGGGCAGGGCCAGCTGGAGGCTGGGAGGTGGCCAGCCATCTACCATGTCACCTCCTCAGGGGCCACCAAGGGACCACCAAGGGACACACTCTGAGAGCGCTATGGCTTCCCCAGCTCCCCACGCCACCCCGCCTCGGTCTCAGCACCTTTTCTGCAAAGTCGGGCTATAGGAACACAGAAACCTGTTTCAAAGAATACACCGGTGCCACCTGACGGGCAAACACTAGGAGAGCAGGAGAGGCCTGCCTTGTGTTCTGGTGGGATATACCGGAAAGCAGGTCCAGCCCCCAGGGAGGTGGACTAGACAGTAACACGGTGCCTGCCTGTAGGGCATCCAGATACCAGCACCCACCCTATTCATAGTGCAGAGCTATGAAGCAGATCTTAGGGACAGGGATAAAAGACGGACTTCCAACGTGGCTAAGCACACAGTCACAGCCGTTTCCCAGCATCTGGGCCCTGTGTTTCTCACCAGCAGCCAGCCAGAGATGCAAAAATCCAACAGCACCCTCACTCAGAGCCCAGCGCAGTGGCCCCGCGGGGTTACCGTACCTGCCTCGCCACCCTCCGCGCCTCCCAGTAGGGCTTCGACTCTTCCACGGCCTTGCCAATCTTCTTCATCAGCTCGTCCAATTTCACCGTTGCTTCCGCCAGGACAGAGCGGAACTTCTGGCGGGCATCCTGCAGCCAAAGGACGAGAGTTCAAGGTGGAAGAAAGGATGTGTCAGCACCTGCTCCCCACCAAGGGAGATCTCATCCAACACCCACGCCCCTAAGTTATCACCCACACAAGACAATGCTCCCCCCAGCACCCTCCTAAGGCACCTTCTGCTCAGGAAAACACATCCCATGGTCTGTATAATCCACTGTGTCACCACTGGCACTTGATACTGGCTAGAATGAAATGAACCTTTCAACAGTTACATGCATTAAAAAAAAAAAACAAAAACAAACAAAAACTGGAGGCCAGGGTTGTGTCGTCGTGGGCAAAGCTGCCATCGATATCAGCTTCCTACAGGCCACCAGTTCATGTCCCAGCTGCTCTACTTCAATCCAGCTCTCCGCCCACAGCCTGGGAAATGGCAGCAGAAGCAGCTCAGGTGCTTAGGGCACTGCCACTCACATGGGAGCCTCGGATGAGGCTCCTGGCTTTGGCCCAGACCTACCCTGGTTGTTGTGGCCATCTGGAAAGTGAATGACATGGAAGACTTTTCTAACTCTTTCCAATGAATTTTTTAAAATAATAATTAAAAAAAACAAACAAACGAAAATGAATGTGGTTAGTGTTCTGTACTAGACAGCAGAGTTCACGCTATAAAGTCTAGGTGCTTGGGGTACAAATGCCCAGTCTAACCATCCCGGGGGAAGCTTGAGTTCCCAAGATGGCACCATCTCCTGTGCTCCAAGATCCCAAGCACACACACACAGCATGCCAGGCCCTGCCTCTCAGGTACTATCCGTGCAATGGGTCAGGCGAACACGAGCGTCCACTGTAGAAAAGGCAGCCCCAGGACGCGGACAGCTCAGGGGCCAGGGGGCATGTCAGACATGGCAACCTGGCACCCAAACCACACCCAGCATCCATGCCCAGTCCCTGGAGACACATGATGTGCCAAGGGCTATTCTGGGCCCTCTCGGGAAAGAGGCATACAGAGCACCTGCACCTCCTACACAGCAGGGACAAGCCAAAGTGCCATCACGAGCAGGCTCAGGAGCAGGTGCTCCTGCTGCTGGTCATGTTTCCCAAAGAAGGAAATCAGGCACAGAGAAGATGGGCTAACCCCCCTTGGTCACAGAGCCAAGGGGCCAGCAATGCAGCCTAACCAGTAAAGCATCTCCTGTAGTTTCAGCATCCCACAGGGACTCTAGTCCGAATGGTGGCTGTTCCACTTCCAATTCAGCTCCCTGCGAATGTGCCTGGAAAAGCAGCGGAGCACAGCCCAAGTGCCTGGATCTGTGCATCCACGTGGGACACCTAAATAAAACTCCTGGATCGTGGCTTCAGACCAGGGGATGTGAACCAGTGGATGGAAGATCTCTCTCTTTTCTCTCTGTTAACTCTTTTAAATAGATAAATCTTTAAAAAAAAAAAAAAAAAAAAAAAAGCCCAGGATGGACCACTGCCTCTGGAATGCCCAGAGAGAACTGCAAGTTTACTCTGCAGCTCACAGAGGGCACAACTCCAAATGATAAACCCTTCACGGACAGCAGGCCTCCACCAGGCCAGGGCTGTGTGCTGACCCTTGGACTGTTTAGATCAGTCCTCAAGGGAGTCTTGGAACAGTTCCCTGTGTCTAGAAGAGGATTCAGCTATTTAAAGCTAAAAACTGTGTCGCCAGCGGTTGGTGACTCAGGCGGAGCACCCTGTATTCCCCAGCCAAGAACTGCTGAGGACAGCACAGGCTCCCCATGTGCGTGTCGCTGCATCACAGACAGCCCAGCATGATGCAGCGATGACAGCCAAGGCAGCAGGCGGGTGGCGGTCCCGCAGGCCTGGAGGACCACAGGCCAGGAGGCAGTCCTTGCCTTCCAGACCATCTGCCCATCTCCGTCCCACTGACCTCACTTGTAAATGGAGAAGGACCGCCTCTCCCTGCTCCAAGGTGTCCTCCAAGATGGAAGACGCTGGCTTTTTAAAAATAACTGTCCTCCATTGGAGAGGTGACAGCACACGTCAGAGGGTGCTTGGCAAGGCCAGTGATACATGCACCGCAGCCTTCCTAAGGCAGAAGGAAGCCTCTGCGGGTGGCAGCGGGTGGCAGCAGGTGCAGCTGGCCTCACCACAGCCCTGCAAAATGGGCTCCAGCAGAATGCCCAGCCCCGCCACCTGGCAGTTTGCAGATCAGTACCTGGGTGGGCTCTCACTGCCTGAGGTCACCCAGGGGAATTAGCGTTGGCTGTTTCACAAAAGCACACTTCTGTCCAGTCTCTTGACCTACTAGTTCCCAAAACAGGGTCCCTGGGAACCACTGGGGCAGGGGTGGGGTGGGGGGACAAGGCATCACCACCTTCACAGGGAGCCCCAAAAGGGCGGAAAGCTGCTTTAAGTGGCATTCCCTCCTGAGTGTGCAACAGGATTTTCCAAACACCATCCAACTACAGCCTGCAGAGAACAGATGCAGAAGGAGACACGGGGGAGATGAAATACAAGAGAAACTTGGGGCAGACACGTGGCAAGTGATGAAGATACCGGTTGGGTCACCACATCTCTCATCAGAACGCCTGGGTCGCCAACTCTGCGGAGGCCACTTCTCTCCATGGCGACCATGGGAGGCAGCCATGACAACTCCAGCGTCCACGGGCCTCCTGCCACCCACCCGTGAGAGCCAGACCGCATTCCCAACTCCAGGCTTCAGCCCGACCCAGCCAAGCTGCTGTGGGCACCCAGGGAGGCAACCAATAAACAGCTTACAATTTCCCTCTCTACCTCTCAAATAAAGACATTTTTAAAAGATAATTTTATTTGGGGACCTGCATAGTTGTGTAGCAAGCTAAGCCTCCACCAGTGGCATCAGCAACCCAAAGGGGCAGCAGTTGGAATCCTTGCTGTTCCACTTCCGATCCAGGTCTGGGGAAGCAGCAGAGGATGGCTCAGGCCTTGGGTCCCTGCACCTGCATTTGAGACTAGAAGAAGCTCCTGGCTCCTGGCTTTGGGCGGGCTCAGCTCCAGCCACTGCAGCCACTCAGGGAGTGAACCAGGAGATGGAAGATCTCTGTCTCTCCTTCTAACTCCACAAATCTTCAATAATTTCATGGGAAAAATGTGTATTGTGAAAAAGTATAGATCAAAAAATTAATCTTTTTATACTAAAGCAGCTTATCTCTTTTTTTTTAATATACTGCATGCTTACTTTTTTTTAAAAAAGATTTATTTTTATTATTTTTTTATTGGAAAGACGGATATACAGAGAGGAGAGACAGAGAGGAAGATCTTCCGTCCGATGATTCACTCCCCAAGTGAGCGCAACGGGCCGATACTATGCCGATCCGAAGCCAGGAGCCTCTTCTGGGTCTCCCACGCGGGTGCAGGGTCCCAAAGCTTTGGGCCGTCCTTGACTGCCTTCCCGGGCTACAGGCAGGGAGCTGGAAGGGAAGCGGGGCTGCCGGGATTAGAACCGGCGCCCATATGGGATCCCGGGCGTGCAAGGCGAGGACCTTTAACCACTTGCGCCACCGCGCCGGGCCCCAGCTTATCTTTTATAATTCCATTTTTTTCCCACAAACTGTAGGAATCACCCTCACAGAGTCCAGCTCTTCTATTAAACTAAACATTAAGAAACTTGGTAAGTATATAGAATATTCTCCATTTCACTGCAGGTTGGCACGGAGTGAACACACACCTTTAAAATATTTTCACTTCTTAAACACACACATTGACATTATCCGGATAAACTCAAGCTCCCTGGAGCCCTCGGTGATCACGGTGGGGGCGAAGGGGGAAGAGCTGAGCCCTGGCAGGCGCAGGTCAGCTGCAGGCCAACCACACCTGCCTACACCTGCTCCAGCAAGCACATTCTCAGCCACTCCCTGAGCTTCTCAGTCCTTCCGGTTTTGCTGGAAAGAAGGACTCCACCGATGACACCACATCTTCCTCCAGCCTTCACTTTCCCAACCTCCTCAAGTTCACGTCTAAACCGCCCACGAAGAACAGCACTACAATCTGATAAGCAAGCAAGGCAGCCACTGCAAACCACAGGGCTGACTCAGAGAGTCAGCAGGCTCTGTCTGCACTTTCTACGCTTATTCTCTAACAAAAGACTTGCTTCGGGCTAGCATCATGGCACAAGGCCAGCACCCCACAGTGGCATTGTTCAAGTCCACCTGCTCTGCTTCTGAGCCATCTGCCTGCTAACTGCCCTAGGAAAGCAGCAGAGGACTGAAGTCCCTCCAACCTCGTGGGAAGCCTGGATGGAGTTCCAGGCTCCTTGCTTCAGCCTGGCGCAGCAAGCCCTGCCATGGGGAGACAAGTCAGCTGACAGACATGCACACTCCCCCATGCTCTCCTGCCCTGCCTTTCCAATAAACAAATGAGGAAAACACACCAAAAAAAGACTGCTTTTAAGTATTTCCCTTTGATGGGTTTTTCCATATAGTATCTTTCTGCAATACTTTCTTTTTACCCTCCCCGCACATGAGCAGCCACCGAGCACACAAAGCAATGGGGGGAAGTGAGGAAGCACTCTCCAGGGCAGTCCGACCAAACCTTCCGCAAGGATTCCTGCACCACCTGTGCCCCTGCTCCCCAAGCTGCAAGTGGCTAATCAAGCCCTGATGTGGCAGCTAACTGGGCTGCATTACAAAGTCCCAACCACTGCACTTCGGATCCAACCTCCTTGCAAATGCACCTGGGAAAGCAGCAGAAGACAACCCGAGTGCCCGGCCTCTGCCATCCCATGGGGAGACCAGAATGCGGCCCCAGGCTCCTGGCCATGTGGGAAGTGGAAGATTTCTCTCCTCCTCTCTCTCTAGCCCTGCCTTTCAAAATAAATATATCTTTTTTAAAAAAAATATTTTAACTCAAAATAATTTCAACTTCAGGGGGGAAAAAGAGGGTGCCATGGAGTGGACATGATGTCCCCTTTCCTGAAATAGTTTGGTACACACGTTTTTCTCAAAGACAAGGCCATCGTCGCCCACAACCAGAGTGCAATCCTCACCTTCCGAATGTTCAAAGTCAGCAC